AAAATTAGTATTCAAAGTGAAAAACTGAGCGCATATATACTCTATATATACCTATATATATATATATATATGTCGGTCGGTGATACGTATTTTTGGTTTGTCTTCCAATTGATTTCTATACGAAAAAGAGAAATTTGTTTGCATGCATGATATCTCTTCTTAGTGTGAATAGATTAATTGCATATATATGCACGTCTAGAAGAATATCAAATGAGATCGCTTTTCATAATTAATCTTTAAATTTCACTGTATATATAATATATTATATTATATTATATATACACTATACACACAAATGGTTTATAACATATTATGTAATTTATATACATATATATATATATATACACACACGAACATTATACACACAAATATTATCTTTAATATTTTATAATGTTTGTTAAGTTACCTATAGTTACGAAGTACATTATAATTACTAAAAAATTACGGGATTTAAATTAAGTACTTTTGGCATAATTTGATAATCTTATGGAATTATAAATAATAGAAATAAGGGAAAGTAGTAATATATCACCTTTCCCCTCTTTACTTCTTTCTACCAATAAATAAATTTAATATTAAAAAAATTAATGTAAAAAATGAAAGTCGTACGGCAATTCTTAGCCGTTCTTTTTATAAGATTGTCAACCATTAAATAATAACCACCCTCCCGATTTAATAAATCTATAATATAATATATATATATATATACAGCAGCAGTTTATCATAAATATATATATATATAATTAACATGGGAATTAGAGACAATTAATTTACTCAACTAATTAGATGTGGGTATATGTATATGTATATATATATATATTTTGTACTTGCTATCTAGTTGTCATTATGCAGAAAAATGAAGCAAAAAGAAAACAAAAAGTGAGTGAAGTAAGATTGAGTCGCTTTTGATAATGCAATTGGTTTTGTAATATTCCCCTCCACTCTCATTAGTCATTTTGCGCAATGGATTTACTTCGTTTGTTGGTCACTACTAACCAGTGCTTACACCATATAAACCAGTTTGAATTTATCTCTGATTCTATATTGAAAGACATATATATATATATATATGTATATGCGTGTGGGTATGTATACAATAAGTACATATATGTCTGTATATATATATATATATATATATATATATATATCTCACCGTACTGATTCCGTCAATCAATCCTCTATGCAGGCCACATAATAAACTAGATGAGATTATCAAAGACATATCCACAAAGCAGCATATCAATATTGTTTTTGCTTTTTTGTTTTTTTAATATATTTTTTAATGAACCAAAATTTCAAGATTATACATATTATGCTGATGGATTTTTTTTTTCATTTGTTTGAATTAAGGGTGTATACCTACACCCTTTAACTATATATATATATATTAATTATCTGAAGAGTGTACTTATATACATAGAATAGTTGAAGTTAAAAATAAAAAAAAAAACAATTAACCCACTTTTTTATACATTGCACTAATTAACTTGTAATTTTTTTATTATTAATTTTTTTGGGAATGTTCTATTTATAATTGAGTTTTCCCTATATATACATATATATAAATTTATTCCTTTACTTTTTTTAAAAAAAATTCAGAATAGCCTCCCTAATTTGGACTTAACTATGCCCTAAAATTTTTAATTTGGTTACATTAAATTCCTCCCATAATGTGTTTTTTTTTTCCTAAAAAAATAATGTAACACCCACAAAAAAGAAATTAATAAAATAAAATAAATAAAAATTTGTGTGTAATTAAATAATTAATAAATATAATTTTTTATTAATTTATTTTATTTTGTTGTATTTTATTTTATTTTATTTAGAGGAAAAAGGAAGTAAAAATTGAATGAGGATGAAATCGGAAATAAATTTGGGAAAAAATAGTAAAAATTTGGGTTCTGATGGTATTTTTGAAAAAAAAATCAGAAATTAAATATCAAAGTGCAATTTAGAGAAGTTCTGCCACGTCAGACGCTTGGTCAATAGCCCCGACAAAGCAAGAGACGCCAGGTGGCAATGGGCGCTGATGTGGTGCTATGCAAGAAGCGACGCGGACGATCAGCGTACCCGCGATCGAACGGTCCAAGTCCGTTCCCGCACACACAGACGGCTTCGATGCGCTCCCTCCCAAATGCGATCGAACGGCCAGATTCAAACACGATCGAACGACCTAGAGTGGATCGCAATGGACGGTCGAGATTGGATCGCGATGAACGGCCCAGATTCACTTCCTATTTAATCGTGATCGGACAGTACAGATCAAACGCGATCGACAGTCCATATCAAAAGCTGACGAAAATAAATAACCTCAATCCGTATCAAACCCTAACCCTAGCCGCCAGATCCCCTCGCCAGAGAAGATGACCCAACCACCGGGGAGCAGAACGCCGCCACCCGCCGCCGCACCGGAACCCTCTCTGACCACCAAAAAAGGTAAAAACTTTCTCTTTTGCACGAAATTCAATTTTAAGCTCACCCATGGCCAAATCGAAGCAAAAAGACCGGCCAATTGGCTGGAAAACACCAGCGAAATTTGTCGGCGCCGCCACGAAAAATTTCACAAAATGCCTCCAATAAGACCATTCTCGATTCCTGTTCTGTGTAATTTTTTCACTGTACTGATCACCGTATCATTCTCTACAGGTTGACCAGAGCAAAACACTCAACCGCAACGTGAGCCGGAAGAGCCGTCGCACTAGAGAGCTCCGCCGCCGGTGAGTTTTAGTTTTTTGTGTTTTTTCGGCCAACCAATGCCCTTTAACGTGTTTTCTTATAGGGAACAACGCAAAATCAGCCAAATTTGGCCAAAAACGGCCAAAAACAGCTGACCTGAGGCGGACTGCCGCCGCGGGCGGCGGCACCATCATCAGAGCATGGCAGAGTCGCCGTGTCAGAATTCCAAAATTGACCGAGTGGGCCCTAAGACTGATTTTGGATTTGTTTGGAACATTTGTAGGTACTATTAGCGCGTTTCGATTTTCGGAGAAAAATTCAGAGAACGTAAGGACCATCCGTAGTCGCAGTAAACAGTTTAACTTTTTGGGTGTCAAATCGAGTAAAGATTCATCACCATATTCTATATCATAGAATTGAAGTCTAAACAAATAATAATATGGTATTTGTGCAAATTAAATAAATGTGCATAATTAATTACGTATTGCTAATGGAGCCCGAACCAGAAATTGTTCTCTGTTAATTTTTATTGATTTATTTTGTAGTCTAAAAGTATGATGGTATCTAGTTTATCAATTTTGTGGTTTGAATGCATGAATTGTTGTCTTACGTTACTACTGTTTAATTGAAAATTTGAGATATGATTGAATTCCCTTATGCATATTTGTTTGTTTATGTGATTATGGTTGATTTAGAAAATAGAGACTAAAGAAAAACAGGAAAGTTGTGTGATTAAATAAACAGATGGAACAGCAGCTTTACTAGATATCTTGAGAGATTGTGGACGGATCGGGTACATAGGAAACCCTACCGTGAACGTTGTCTCATACCGGATGGGATATGAAGACTTGGTAATTTGGCACTAATACCGGACGGAGTATTGAGGTTTAATAATTGGTGCTCATACCGGATGGGGTATGGGGACAACCTGTAATTGAGATTGTTAAAGGAAATTGGTCACGTGTAGTGAAAACATCCCTATGAACCCCCATGGATACTAGTAGGCTGATGAAAAGGTGATAGTTATTGTTTGGTGATTTGATGATGTGTATAAGTTTATGATATATGCTATGTTGCTGATCTTATATGAAATTATAATTCGTATGATATTATTGTTTGCATAGGTTATTTTCATAAATTTCACTGTGGTAAGTGAACGGTAAATGATTTTATGATTGCTAAATTTAGTGCTTAATTAGTTATTTTTGTTTTTATACCTATATTTATTTTTGTGTCGGTGATATAGTGTGATATCCTTACTGAGTTAGTATAACTCATTCGTTATTTAACCATTTCAGATCAAGAGGACCAGGTTCCAGAGCACGATGCGCAAGAAGATTACGAGTAAATGTTAAATATTTTTTCTTTTCTGTTTATTTCCTTATTTATTATGTTTCTTTCAAAATGGTGAATTCCGTAATGCTGTTTAGTACTTTTAAGTTATTGTGTAAAGAATGTAAATATTAAACCTTTTATTTCACTTCCGTACTTAAATTATTATCTATTTCCTTTAAATATTTTTGGGATCATTACAAATAATTTGAACCAAAATTAATAATTTTAAAATCTAATTGGATACCAATTATATATATATATATATATATATATATATTGATTTGAACAATTAAGAAAAAGTATAAAATTTAAAATTTAAAATTTTAGAAATACATATATGTGTTTATCTCCTTGCTCCAAGGAATATATGTAAGTTTATAGCGAATATTTGAAGTGATGGGTCTATGCAGAAGATTGTAGCTGGTAATTTAATTGGGATAAGGGCTAAAGCCCATCTTTTTTCTCATCCTCATAAGAAGTTTTTTTGGTTTCTTTCTTTTTATTTTTTTTTACTTAATAAAAATTTAAATTATTCTTAAAAAATTAAAGATAATTTTAAATTTATTATTATATCTTATTTTATTAGACCTGCTAAAAGGAGGAAAAAAACTGAAGTCATTCACAGTTATATTACATGACCCACATGTGTATTAGCATTAATAAGCCTGCCCACATTTTCCATGAGAGCAAGAAAAACAGACAAGAAGGAAGAAACCGGATAGACTGAGCGTTAAAAAGAAGACCCTAAATCCAGGACTAAAGTCATATTTCATGGGTTAGCCGTTTCTGTATGTATATATATATGGTACTCTTATCTCTATCGTCTCTCCAACCTCTATCCTATACATCTTCCTTACCAAAGACTCTTCTTTCCGTTTTCCAAGGCTGACATACATTATATGTATACATACATATAAACCCATATGTATATCTCTGTCCCGTAACGAAATTGATTTTCCTACAAAGACATTCGGTGTATGATAATGATGATGACGAGAGGGGAGAATAAGGTAGTTTTTTCCCCAAAACGACTGTGTTTTGGGGTATGTTTGGCTGCTATAATCATCATATTCTGCTCGCCGAATGCGGTGAAGGCGGATCGAGTCCCGGCAATGTTTGTGTTCGGAGATTCACTGGTTGAGGTTGGGAACAGCAACTTCCTTGGGTCTATTGCCAGATCAAATTACTTTCCTTACGGCTGTGATTTCTATTATGGTCCTACTGGAAGATTTTCTAATGGCAAAACCTTTGTCGATATTCTTGGTATGCTTAACTTTATTTATTTATTTTTGTTATGGCAAAACCTCATGCATCCATTGCATAAATATATATATATATATACGTCCATATATAAACATATATATATATATACACATATATATAATCAGGAGTGTAGACTATTCCAAAACTAACATAAGTTCAATATAAATATATATATATATATATGTTTTTGCTAAAATTTTGACCAAGTAATGTATTAATTAAGTACTTCAGGTATAACTTCATTGTATATTTGTGTGTGTGTGTGTTTATATATATACATATGCAGATATGCGAACTAATTTTACTTTATCTCATTAATCAATTGAAACAGGAGAAATGTTGGGTGTCGGCTATCCTCCGGCCTTTGCAGATCCCAGCACAAGGGGAGCCAGAGTGCTGCGAGGAGTAAACTACGCTTCCGCAGCTGCTGGGATCCTTGAGGAAACTGGCCAACATTACGTAAACTTTTTTTGTTCAATTATTTTATACTTTAAAACTACTTACTTTTAATTTAATTTAATTTTATTTATAATTTTTAACTGTACGTGAGAATAACCATCACAAATGATTATGGGTACTTCTTGTTTTTTATTTCATTTTATTAAAAAATCCAGCATCATATATATATATATATATATATATGTTGTTATAAACAATTTTGTTGTGGTTGCAGGGAGAAAGGTATAGTCTGAGCCAACAAGTGCTGAATTTCGAGAACACATTGGAAGACATAAGAAGAACAATCGGGGCGCAGAATATAAGTGACTACTTGGGAAAATCCATCGCCGTTTTAGTATTTGGGAGCAATGACTACATCAACAACTATCTCATGCCTTCCATTTACTCTTCTAGCTATACATACACTCCCCCTCAATTTGCTAATCTTCTTCTCAACCACTATGCCCGCCAACTTGTGGTACATACATATTTATACACATGCATATATTGTATAATACCCATCTTCATCACACACACACACACACATGTATATATGTTACTGAGCCCGCCAACTTGTGGTACATATATAAGCATATAGTGTATCATACCCTTCTTCATCACACACATATATAAATATGTATCTATGTTACGGAGCTAATAATGGATTAACGACATAGATATATATGTGCGTGTGTTGTATATAATTGCAGGCACTGTATAGTGTAGGACTAAGAAAGTTCCTGCTTGCTGGAGTAGGACCTCTCGGGTGCATCCCAAACCAGAGAGCGACAGGTCAATCACCACCAGATAGATGTGTTGACTACGTCAATCAAATGCTTGGTACGTTTAATGAAGGGCTGAGATCACTTGTGGATCAACTCAATAGATACCCAGGTGCAAGGTTTTCGTATGGCAACACTTACCATGCTGTTGGTGACATACTGAATAACCCTGCAACTTATGGTAAGTAATTAAACTTAAGCTCAATTTATTAAAATTTAAGATTTATTACAATTTAATTTTTAATATTTTTAATTATTTTAAACGATTAATATTTTTATATTTTTTTTATAAAAAGAATAAAATAATTAAATTATATTTAAATATGTTAAACAATAATTTTTTAAAAAATAACATTAACTAACACTATTGTGAATTTATTAATATATTAATTTAATCAATCAATTAAAATTAAAAGTTTATATAAATAAAAAAACATAAATGATTATATTATAACAATAAAAATATTACGGATTAAATTATAAGAAGTGTCAAACCGAGTATTTTAGTAATTTGTTCAAAATATTTTATTGTATATTAGTAATTTGAATGAAAAAATTTATTAATATTATTAAATCTTATATTTCTTAATGATTTATTTTTGGTAACCAAAAAAAAAAAATTTTGCAGGATTCAGTGTGGTGGACAGGGGATGCTGTGGGGTAGGGAGAAACCAAGGGCAAATAACATGCATGCCGTATCAATTTCCATGCCCAAATAGAAATGCTTATGTTTTCTGGGATGCCTTTCATCCGACTGAGGGTGTCAACGCCATTCTTGCTCGTCGAGCTTTTTATGGACCTCCTTCCGATTGTTACCCCATTAATGTCCAACAGATGACTCTTCTTCCTTGATCTTTCTTAGAATTATTAAATAATGTTTGATGGGTTGTTATTATATGTAATGTATATTGCTTGGAACTTTTTTGGTTTAGCATGAATTTTCAAAATGAACCCATAGAATATTTTCTTATGGATGAGATATTCTTGATAACTAAATATCTAAAATAATTAAAAATAATAGTGATTATAACTACATTTTATTCAAATATATTATATTTTTGAGTTTATGAGCTCGTTTGTAACGGCCCCGAAATTTAAATGAAGATGTATATATTAAAAATCTTAAATGCGGAAGCGTAATAAAAATTTTGATTAACATCTCTTACACAATAGCCAAATACGTACTCAAATCATAAAAGAATAAGCTAATTAAAAGTGATACTCGAAATAAAAACTATA